GTTGTGGTCTGAGAAGATACTTGAAATGTTTTCAGTTTTTTAAAATTTGTTGAGGCTTGACTAGTGACCTAACATATGGTCTATCCTGGAGAATGTTCCATGTGCTGATGAGAAGAATATATATTCTCTGGTGTTGGATGAAGTATTCTGCAGAAATATGCCAAGTCCAATTGGTTTAAAGTGTCATTTAAATCCTGCATTTCTCTGTTGGCTTGTTCCCTTGTGATCTGTCCAATTTGAGAGAAGGTGTTCAAGTCCCCAACTATTATCGTATTTGGGTGTATCTCTTTCCTTAGGTCTAATAATGTTTGCTTTATATATCTGGGTGCTCAGATACTGGGTGCATATATATTTATGATTGTTATGCTTTCTTGCTGGATAAATCCCTTTATCATTATATAATGGCTTTCTTTGTCTCTTTTTATAGCTTTTGTTTTAAAGTCTATTTTATTTGATATAAGAATAGCTACTCCTGCTTGTTTTTGATTTCCATTTGTGTGATATATCTTTTTTATCCCTTCACTCTTATGTCTATGTGTGTCTGTACAAGTGAGGTCAATCTCTTGTAGAAAGCATATAGTTCAGTCTAGCTTTTTAATCTAATCAGACAGTATGTGTCTTTTGAGTGGGGAACTTAATCCATTTACATTTAGGGTTGTTACTGAAAGGTATTGTTTTATTTCTGACATTTTATTGATTTTCATTTGGATGTTTTAAGTATCTTTTGTTTCTTTCCTTTTATTGTTTGTCTTTGGTTTTTGTTAGTTTTTGGAGGTGGTAACATACACTTTTTTTTTTCTCATTTGCATTTTTGTTCTTCCTGTGAGTTTTGTTCTTTCTTGTGTATTCACAGTAGTGATTATCATTTTTTGGATTCCAGATGCAGAACTCCCTTGAGTATTTCTTGTAGAGCTGGATGTGTGGTGGTGAACTCCTGTAGCTTTTGTTTGTCAGGGATATACCATATTTCTCCTTCATTTCTGAGGAATACCCTTGTTGGGTTAGTGTACTTGGCTGGCAGTTTTTTATTTTTTTTTCTTTTAGCATTTTGAATATATCTTCCTATTCTCTTCTGTTCTGTAGAGTTTCTGTTGATAATTCTGCTGTCAGTCTGATGGGGACTCCCTTATAAGTGACTTGATGCTTTTCTCTTGCTGTTTTTAGGATTCTCTCTTTGACTTTGAGTTTTGTCAGCTTGACTGTAACATGCCTCAGAGAGGACCTTTTGGACTGAATCTGTTTGGGAATATTCATGCCTCCTGAATCTGAAGGCCCATGTCTCTCCCTATACCTGGAAAGTTTTCCACTATTATTTCTTTGAATATGTTCTCGATGCCTTTTCCTTTCTCCTCCTCTTTGGAAATAACTATGATTCGGATATTTGTATGCTTCAGGTTGTCTGCTATCTCTCTTAGATTTTCTGTATTTTTTAAAATTCTTTTTTCTTTTCTTTTGTCCACCTGAGTATTTCAAAGAGACTGTCTTCAATATCATAAGTTCTTTCTTCTGCTTGCTTTAAGTCTTCTGCTTATATTCTCAGTTGTGGTTTTGATTTCCTTGAACAAGTCCTTTAGTCCATGAGTTCCGCAACATTCTCTTTTAAAGTATTGATCTCTTTGTAAATTTCCTCCTTCATCTCCTGGATAGTTTTGCTCAGTTCATTGTGTCATCTAACTGCATCTTCTTGCATTTTATTGACTTCCCTGAAAATTTTTAGTTGGAATTACTTTTCAGTCATTTCAAGGGTTTCCTGATCTATAAGGTCTGGTACTCGAGAGTTATTGTATTCCTTTGGTGTACTCACATTTTCTTTTTCTTTTTCTTCTTTTTTATTTTCTTCATATTTCTAGTATCTCTACATTGATGTCTGGTCATCTGCTAGAGCAGTTGTTTTTTCTGTTACTCCTTCTGTAGACTCCACTGGTGACCCTTCTTGTGTCAATCCAGTTGAGTGGTTGGTGGTCCACCTGCATAGCAGCAGTGGCTGCTGTGGCTGCTGTTATGGTAGCAGGTCACCCTTGCTGTGGCAGTGGTTGTGAAGAGGTGGCTTTGTTGGACTGACCACGTGGCAGCAGTGGATCCAGTGGTGGCAGGCTGCTCACATGGCAATGGTGGTTGCCTGGCAGTGTTGGTGGTAGTGGCAACTGCAGCAGTTGTGGTTGCAGCAGCCACCTACTTGGCTGCAGTATACACAGTGGTGGCCTGCACAACTATGTTGTCTGCAGTCACAGCAGGGCTATCTTGTGGCAATGGCAGCAGCAATGGTGGCTGCTATAATCACTTCTTTGCCACCTGTGGTGTCCTTGGCATCAGCAGTGTTACCTTGTGGGGGCTGCAGTGGTGCTGGCAGCCGCAACTGCCTCCCTCACATCTGCAGTGTCTTTGGCAGCAGCAGGGTTAAGTCATGGCAGCCGCAATTTTGGCAGCAGTTTCAGCCTCCTCCCTTGCATCTGAGGAGTCTATGGCTGAAGTGATGGGCAACATGCAGGACTGCTGCTCTGTGGGGAGCTGCTCTGCAATGGGTGATGGTTCTGGGACCAGACTATGGCTCTGGTGACTGCAGTGATGGTGGTGGTGGGCCCATTCTAATCTTCTTCTGCGGAAGGAAAATGTCCTGGGCACCTCTAGTCTGCCATCTTCCCAGCAGTCCTTTTTTTTTATTTGTTGACATATGATAAATATTTATTTTTGCAGAAGACAGCATATTTATTGTAGAACAAATAGAACCTGTTGAGAAACAAAGAGGAACACTAGACTCTGTAGAGTTCTTCCATCCAGGAGTGAGCCTGTTCCATGATGAGTCTACCTCTCCCTTCCAGAAGTATCCTGGTGCTTGTCTGCTCAGGAAGTGCCTGCACCTGGATGGCCATAGCTTCATCTTGGGCTTCCATCCCTGGACTGAGGAACCCCTCCCCACTCTTAGACTGTGCATGTACTGCCTGCCAGGTACCAACTGTCACTATTCCCATTTTACAGATGAGAAAACTGAGGCTCAAAGAAGTGATGAGACACGCCCAAGGTCACACTGTGAGTCAGACAGAATTAGGACTTTATAGGAAGATATGGGCATTTCTGCAACTAACACAGGGCACCAGTCTGCCAGGATTCAGGTTGGACATCAAACTTCCCCAGACTGCAACCTCTTCCACCCCAAACTAGATTCAGAGAGGCCATGTTGTTAGCTTTCAGAGCTGGGGAAGCTCTCTGGAGCCACCTTGCTCAAGTTTTTATTGCTGTGAGAGAAAACTGAGGCTCAGAGCTGGAGAGTGACTTGCCCAGGCACTGGGGCTGCAGTGGTGGGTGAATAGGGAAACAGTCTGCTCCTCAGAACTGTCCTGAGGTAGCTGTGCCTGCCTAAGACCAGGACAGAGTGGGAGACCCTGGTCCTGGCCAGGCCCTGAATCAGTGCCTTTTTAATATCTGTAGGATCTGTGGTGATGTCCTTCTTTTAATGCCTAAAATTAGCAATTTATACCCTCTTTCTTTTTTTGCCTTGATCAGTTTTGCCAAGGGTTTACCAATTTGATTAGCTTTTCCAAAAATCAATTTTTGGCTTTTTTAAATTCTTTATTTTCTTTGTTTTGTATTTTATTTATTTCTGCCTTTTTTCTTTTTCAAGGTCTCCTTTCTAACTTTTTTTTGGGTCTTTCATTCTTTCTGTCTTCTTTTCTTTTTAGCTTCTTGATTTAAGTTTACAGAGAGAACTTTTTGTACATTACCCAGGAGCTCAATGAATGAATTCAAAAATCAAGCATTAAAGAATATTTTCTTCCAGGCTGTATGCACATGCATACACGTGCACATGCACATATGTACACACACACACACCCCGAGGCTGGTCTTGAGAAAACAGTACTTAGGGCCAATTGTTTTAGGATCATAGTAGTGGTTACCTGTTCAATATTGCAATAAGAATAATCCTAAATGTAGTAGGGTGAGAGGCAAATTCATAAAATGTTTATAAGTTTTTTTCACTTAATAATATACTGTGAATATTTTTACATCACAATACACTATATTTTAAAACACAAATTTTATTGGTTGCATAGTTTTCTTTGTATGACTAAAGCATAATTTGTTGGTACATTTAATAAATAATTCTATTTTTCAACATATAATCATTTTGAATTTTTACTACTATACATGAGCCTAAATATCACTAAAAAAACTTATTTACACATTTATCTTATAGGAATGATGTATATATCACCAAATTACCCTTCAGATGATATTTTGAGGGTTTTAGTGGTTTTGGGGTTTCTTTCATTTTTATTTTTAATAGTAAATTGAAAAATTATAGTTGTATGTATTTATGGAATACAAAGTGATCTTAGGATTTATGAGTATAATGTGGAATAATTAAATAAAGCTAATTAAAATATTTATTACCTCAATACTTAACATTTGAAATTTACTCTCTTAGCAATTTTCAAATGTACAATGCATTATTATTTACTATATTCTCCATGCTTAGCAATATATCTCAAAGAAAAAAATTTTCTTTCTGTCTAATTGAGGCTTTGTAGGCTTTGACCATTATCTCCCCATTGCCCCTACCCCCTCAGCCTCTGGTAACCACCATCTAACTCTCCTTTTTATGTTTTATAAAAAAGTTTTTAGAAACTCACAAGCAATTTTGACAGGAAAACTGGATTTCTTTCCTTGGCCAACTCAATACACTTTTATGCCCTGAACTGGGAACATATGTATTGGGTTCAACATTGCTTCCATGGGGAAATGTGTTCAAGTGTTATCCAACTTAAATAATAAATGTTTTAGTATGCATGAAACTCCTCAAGAGATATGTTGATAACAATTACCTTTGTAGTCAAGATGCCTACAATTTCTTAGAAACACTATTGTGTACATTTAATTATAATGCAAGGCAGAGCGTTATAGATGTTTAATGGAGGTATGGTGCTTAACACATTGCAGGTGTTCAACTAATATGTTGAAATAAATTACATTCAACACATTACATTCTGTGCTATCCCAGAGGAGTGAATGAGTAATTTTGATGGGAAGAAGATTGGAGCAGGCTTCATTCAGCAGCTGGCCTTGAAGCTTTTCTACTGCAAGAGCTCCATGAGGGGAAAAGCCAGCGTGACAGAAGGCCCGGGAGTGGAGGCTCCCAAGGAAAGGGATCTGCTGCAGCTGAGGGTCATGCCAAACACAAGGTCGGGAATACTCTGTGAACATGCGAAGGATTCTGTTCAGGCAGGCAAACTCTTTCTTAGATATGTTCTAATTTAGTTAGTAGATGTGTTCCTGAATATTATGTGAAACCTAATTTTTTGAGAATTAAATGCTGTAGGTAATGGATAGAGAACAAGCTAGGTGATTCTCTGTGTTCAAATGAAGAATTAGTTTTCTAATATGTTCATCCCCCAAAGCTAGATGTTTATATAATGGTTTGGCTTAAAGTTAGCTGTATCTGTAATATTATGCTCTTCAGTGCACTTAAAGTTTTATTGTTCTCTCTCTCTAACACAACCATATACACTACTTTATATTTTTGGATTTGGGACATTTAATTCATACAAAAACAGATTGTTAGCTTACAGAGGACTTGAATTATTTTCTAGAATTTGTAGAAGTTAGCACTTACAAGTAGAAATATAATGTCATCAATAGTAACAAGGAAAAAGAAAAACAGAAAAGAAAGTCTTTGCTTTCCATAATGTTTATCTCCACCAACTCAGCCCGTCTGTGGTTACTGGCAGGTCATTTCATTTGGAACCTGTTGGTTTCCCCCTTTTCCTTGTGCTCTGGAAAGCATCCAACTTTATCCCTTCATGGAAAGTTTCTGCAGTCTTATTACGGGAGGTACAAAATCATCTCTATTACCTGATACAGCAAAGTCAGGGCCAGTGGAGGGTTAATTAGAGAATACTTATAAAGCATTTCAGAAATGAAAAAATGTTCGACAAATGCCAAACTTATTAAGATACCTGGCAGAACGTATCAAAAAATAAAATTTTTATGCTGACTTAGATTTTGCTTAATTTTTAAAAATGAAGGTGTCAAACACTCAAATTTCAATTTAATTCAACAAATATTTCTTGAGCACATATGATTTTCCAAGTTTGTAGGACAAAGATGAATAAAATCTGTCCCTTTCTCTTAAGGGATTTACTGTTTAGTGGCTGAATATACAGATACACAGCTCATTCTAATTCAGCTTAATCTCCAAAAGCTCCTCAAAGAGGTACAAACTGGGTACTGTGGGATGTTAGCGAAGATACTGTGAAAAGGACATTTTAAGTAGAGGAACTGCGAGTTGAAAGGTGGGAAAGGCATTTCAGGGGAAATGTAGGTAGTTGAATTTTGTCTATCAAGGGCAAAGATTGGGTGGGGAATGTAGAATGCGGTGAAAAAATAGACCTTTATTAACAGGCTAAGGAGGCAGTAGAGAGCTGCTAAGGCTTTTGAGAAGTGGGTGGCGAGGGCATGACTGGACACAGAAAGTAAAATCACTCAACAATTATTCATGAGTACTCGGAGGATTACCTGTTCTTAGGTAACATTTTAATACTGACAACAGTTTCTTTAGATGAGTTCTTATTTACATTCAAGGACTTGCGTCAAGTTTCTACTAAAATCTAAATTGTGTTTTAAATATATCTGTTCTCTTCCTTGCAGAAATACCTCTTTTTACCCTGTGTTCCCCTATGGTAACCTCTGATTTCGATCTCCTGCCAGCCTTGCTTGGCCCTATTTCCTCCCAACCCCCTTGAAGACAGGGTTACTTTCCTAGTCATCTAGCGCTGGCATCTCCATTCAGGTCGCTTTTCTTTTCTTCCTGATTCTAAGTTCTATTGTTTCCCTCCAGATAATGGAGAGCTAGGTGTGCCTGTGAAATTCTGTGATCCTTTTTAAGTTTTCAATGCCTAGCGTGATTCACATAAGAAAAGTGAGAAAAGTAAGAAGTGGTAGTAGATCAAAAACAAAGCCCTGAGGGAACATGGAGTTGGAGAGACCTTTGAAAGTGTTTTTTAAAAACTATTAAGCAAGATAATATCACTCTGCCTCAGCTTCTTTATGTGTCAAACAGAGGACAATAGTATCTGTGCCTGGGATTGTTACAAAAATTAAATGAGTTGATATTTTGGCAAAATATCTAGTGAGGTGACTGGTACATGGTTACCATTCAGTAAAGGTTAGCTTAAAAAATAAAGACTACATGGTAACACCAAGGTCAAGAGTTAGGATCTCCATACTGACCAACTGCCAAAATTAAATAAATAAAAATAAATAAAGACTAACATCTAATAGTTATACTAAAATAATTTTAACATGAAAAAAGTTTACTTTCTTAACTGTCCTTATTCTTATTCTATTTCCCTTTATTTTCTTTCCCCTTCATCTTGTTTCAGATCTTCAAGTATTCATAACCTTGAGAAAACACACCACCACCTTGTGTGTGTGCAGAACCCTTCTGCTTTCCCAGAAACCAGCTGTGAGATGGAAAGACAAGAGGCAGCTGAGACAAGCACCTGAATTAAATAATTGAGTCGTGTTGAAGTCTTTCTTGCTTATCAACAAATATCATTGATTACCTCTCTTAGATGAAGCATGGGATATCTCTGCATATGTTTTATCTGATAAGGCTCACATATTTTACTCAGCCAATTTCAGACGTAATAGCATAGATCAGTGATTCTCTACCAATGGCCATTTTGCCATCACCTCCCCCCAACAGGGAATATTTAGCATTGTCTGGAGACATTTTTGTTTGTCACAACTGGGAATTGCTACTGGCATCTCGCAGGTGGAGGACAGGGCTACTGCCAACATCCTGTGATGCACAGGATGGCTCTCCACAACACAGAATTATCCAACACCAAATGTCAGTAGTTACAATGTTGGGAAACCCTGGCTTAGATTAAATAAGTCTATTCAATTAGTGCCAGGGGATGGGGAGGTTCTGAGGAGATGGTCCTAGAGGATGAACAGATGGAAAGGCTAGTTGACTACTGGGCACACCTGAGTGGGGAATTATGGGCCAGAGCAGGTAGAAGGAGGATCCTGTGATCCAGGAAGAAGTGCTGGTCATTGGCACCTGAAACAAACTTTGACTAATTTTCAATTTGTTCAAGGTAATGGGAACAGGATATTCAGGGAATTACATGGCCACAGGGCAGGCCTTAGGTAAATGAATACTTTTGTGTTTTTTTGATGGGGACCCTCCCAACAGATATAAATGGTGACTTGGAACAGTGAGAGTCCAGCCCTAGTTAGCTCAGCTTTTCTGTGTACATTGCAATGGAGTCAAGGTAACAGGAAGAAAAGGCGACATAGAGTCAGAATTGCTCAGGGGCCAACCCTATGGCTCACTCGGGAGAGTGTGGCTCTGGGAGCACCGAGGCAAGAGCCGAGGCCACAGGTTTGGATCCTATATAGGGATGGCTGGTGCGCTCACTGGCTGAGCGCGGTGCGGACGACACCAGGCCAAGGGTTATAATCCCCTTACTGGTCACAAAAAAAAAAAAAAAAGAATTGCTCAGAATATTTAGAAAGAGTTAAGATGTAAACAGAATAGTTCTGAGAATTACAAGATCAAATCAAATTTTGGTAATAGACAGGTAGACAATGACAAACAGAAATTTCTCAGCTGAACTAGATTAAATGTTGTTGTGGGTTTAAAGTATGTCCAAAATTCCTTGATGCTCCCTTCAAAGGGGAGAGCCTAATTCTATTCTCTGAGATTGAGTTGGATTTAGTGACTCACTTCTAATGAATAGGATAACACAGAAGTAGTAATGGTATGTGACCCTTGAAGCTAGGTCACAAACAACAAACAACACATAGCTTCTGCCTTGCTTTCTCTTTTGGATCACCTGCCCAGGAGAAAGTCATCTGCCATGTCTTATAAGTAGACTTATGAAGAGGTATGTGTGGTAGGGAACCTTGGCCTGCTGCTAGTAGCTGTGTGTGCGATCCATCTTGGGAGCAGATCCTCAGCCCCAATCAAGCCTTCAGATAACTGATGACATGAGAGAACCTGAGCCAGAATCACCAGCTAAGCTGCCTCTAGGTTCCTGACCTCAGACACCATTGATAGTAAGTGCTTGTTTTATGCTGGTAAAGTTTGAGATAATTGCTAAGTAGCAATATATACCTAACATAAATATTCAGGTTAGAATTGTTTATTAAGGACTGTTATAGATATATATGTGAGGTTTGGTTATATATTTTGAGAATAGGTCTCATTATCTATGTAAGAGATAGGTTTTGACTCAGAATTGTGTGGTAAGATATGAACTCCTGAACTAGACTGCCAGGGTTCCAATCCTGACTTTCTCACTTACTAGCTTTGTGACTGTGGACAATCTACTCAAACTCTTATGCTTCAGTCAACATTTTAAGAACAAAGGCAATAATTTGTAGTAGTAAAGTGCTTATTAGAGTGTCTGGAACATAGTAAGCATGAAATATGCATTAGCTGTTATTACTGTTTCTGTAGTTATTTCGCCTTTTACTCAGATGGTAGTTAGGTTT